AATCTTAGTCCTCGCTCTGTAATTTTCTTTGTTTGAAGTTGGCTGTAGGTCTCCACTACCTGCGGTAGCCACTTACCATCAGGTTTTTTTTTGCGCCCGAAGCAAATATGGGCAACCCTCCGGAAAGCTGGAGAGGGAGGTGGGGAATGCTCATAGCATACCACGCAGCCGGCTTTGTGGTTATGTGGAGACTTTTACCAACTAAACCCCACCTTTTAGGGACTGGCTTAACGGTCTAACTAGAGATCTCTAAGCCGTATACGGACGCGACCCTCCTTGGCAGAAAGCGGCGAAAACCGCTTAGAAGTGTGCCTAACTAAGGCAGATTAAGATGTGTTATGTAGGCTCGGCCCGAGCCGCCAGGAGCCAGTTCAGCTCAGCCGAAAGCTTGTTGGGCGGGGGGGTACCATTAGGTGGACTGTAGGTTCATTTATTACTTCCATTTTATAAAAAAAAGGTTGACACTTGTCGGTACCGACTACCTGCGACGAGTCTAAGCGCGTAAGAAAACAAGGGGATATCTACCCGTACCGATCGGCACCGACTTTTCTGTGCATACCGGTAACTTGCTTCTTTATGGAAGCACCCAAAGAAGAAACTGCACTATTACCGCTATTGTGTTTGTATTTCTTTTTATAGAAGTCCACCTCATGGTAAATAGATGCCGTGACCCGTAGACACCTATATCTATCCTAGATTGAAAATGCTGAAGCGTTGTCACCCATCAGGAATAAGATTAAATGTCTTGTTACCGTAGTTTAGGGTATCCGGTCCTTGTCAATGTCTGACGTAACTCATTGGTACGGTACACATAATATGCGGTAGACGCGTGAATCTACCGCAGAAAATATATTTTTTCTTCCGGACGTACAATACTGCATATTACGTTTGTTGTGATGTTTTTATCCATAAATTTAATGTAACGAGCGAACTTACAATCTATCTGATATAAAGTGGCTACTGCTGCCCATGTACATCTGTAACCAACTTCAAATAGAGCAGGCTATAGATTCGTTGCTACCTTTGTTGAATAAGATGGAATACCTTTATACTCTTCCGATCGAAACACAGCATGGACTTCTATTAGGTTGCAAAATCAGATATGAAGGTCCGCCCTACTTGGGCGGATTCATTTTGTAAAGTCCACAAACACGTATTGGATCAGCGCGGAGTACTAGTTGCAGCGTAGCTCTCGAGAATGAGAGGAAGTTACGTCTAGCCGTGGCACGTTAAAGGATTTTCTTTATATAACTACTGCTTTCACACGGCTTTATTGTTTCTATACCTCTAGTTATTTATTTAGACTATTTGCGCACCAAGTAGATAAACATAGACTTAATTTAACAAGGCATTCTCTGCCAGTTTACCTCCAGGTTAAGCAGAGAAGATATTATGGGTGCAAAATACAATCAACTACGATAAAATACCTGAGTTCACATATTTTTTGCATAGTAACTATAATATGTTATATCATACCTTCATTTTGATAAAGAACACATTCTATTCTTTTCCTAAGAAACTTGAGATACAATAACAAAAAATAGCTCTAGCGATGTTTTAATGATAATGTTAATTAATTATTTTAAAATCATAACAAACTTAATTCACACTCACGCACCGCTCACACACGCAAGACTGTGGCTTTTGTTATAAATTTAACCGTACATTTAAGTTTGAAACGCCAAGTTGTAATCGGCTAAACCTAGGTATACCCGCTTTTGGGTTTTTAACCCACAACATTATGTAAAAACTACGCTTTTTCAGCACTCTGGAGAGATCTTTACTCGCTCATCAAGTAAGGTATTTCGTATTTACTTAAACTACACGTGTATTTTCCTATTATATATCAATACTTGACTACTAATTCCTATCCTAAGGTAGTAAGTGTTGACGTAACTGAACAAACGCCTCTTCCCTGTTGGGATCAGTTATTTATGTCCTTGTTTTGATTTAATGAGTGTAGGAATAATTTTTGATGCATTTTATTATAAAAGTTAGGACCAAGGAATACAAAAAATCTATGACTGAAATATGTATTAAGAATCGATTTGGCAACATGACATGGTGATATTTAGTTAAGGAGTGCTGTTTAAGTCTTGTACACAATATAAAATTTTCCTTACAGTCAATACTTGGTAATGGTCATAAAGTAGTTCTGTAAAATATAAGCGATATATTATGATTTTGTCTTTTCTTAACAATATTTCGTAATTGTTGTGTCACCAGCTTCATTAATATGAAAAACAAATATCGGACAAATTTTCTAAGCAAACTCATAAGAGACTCATAACACAATCAAAACGTTGTGATAACAAAATTACAGTCGTAGATAAGTCGCCTAACTTAGGGACACGTTGTGTAAGTTAAGATCAAGTCCCATCTGCCTCTCTGCGTAATTAAGTTAACAAATTAGAACACGAGCCCGGGGTGTATAATAGCACTTTCGTCAACGTTATGTGTGGAACCTCTTACGACAAATCTGCTGTAGATTAAATTAAATTAAATGTGATTCGAATTTGATTGAAATTAATCCCTTGCAGTTAATTAAATAAAAGTTATAAAATAGAAATGGACTTGATGGCGCTCAAGTCCATTTCTATTTTATAACTTTTTGACTGCCGTTACTACTTTCCATTTAATTATTAATTGTACGGTTGATTTTTGTTTAATTTAAAAAAAAGGCTATTCATCAAACGTCGAGTGAAATTGGTTTGGAAAAGGAAATATAATTTCTTCTTAAGATATACAGGACGAAAAAGTTTACTGACCTATGAATTTTATATACACAAAAACATTAAAAATCATAGAAAATTGTAGAAACTTGAAGAGATTATGTAGGTAAACTAAAACGTTTTAGCGTTTGTTTTACTACAGCAAATTTGAAATGGGAAGTAAAGAAGAATATTTCATTATACGTGATAGAGCCACGCTGCAGCTAAATAATGATTGTAATACGAATGGATCTGCTTGGTTGAAGAAGGACCACGCTCTCACAGAATACTAGCGAAAATTCCAACTTAATGCTGCTGTGTTACGTATGTAAAGAACCATATACGTTATTAACTGGAAACTAGGCATTCCATTTTCATCTTGATATGTGACTGTGCATACATATTTTGATTCTTAATCGAGAATAGATGTAGATGTCTACCTGGTACACAGGGTTATCCAGTATGCACCAGGTGGACTGTGTGCTCATTTGCCATTCATATTTTATAAAAAGGGTAATACAAGCCTCCTCTAATTTCAGAGAAGTTTATGGAGGAATTGATCAGCCCTGCTGACTACGCATTTTACGTATGGTGCATGAAAGATGGTTACACCGACAACTGAGTCAGGTACTATTAATAAAAAGTTCCGTGCAGAGGATAGAATAAAAAGTTCCATACCCTGAAGTACCACATTAGCAACAGAATCAGCAGCAACGATTGTCCGGCTAGAAGCAAACCTTCCCCCAAGAGTAGGATGCAAAATAAGATCGCATCCCATCCTAATCGGCGGACCTATAGTGCCAAACACTGCGGCAGCCTGCAGAATTCAACCGCGACGTTAGTGTTAGTGATACTCCGGATATGAATATAGTCCGGATGAGAGGTCAGCCGAAGGTCCAACAGGGAAGGTTCATAATCCTCTACATCTGGAATCTAAAAAAACGGTCAGAATGGAAATAAACATGTGGAGTGGATGTGGAAAGTGTATTGGATACATGGATGGCAGCCGCAAAAATTACTAGAATTACAGTAGCAGATATTCATCCAATAAAAAATAAAAACAGCAATTCCTTATATGTATACATAAGGGAAAAAGTGACACAGCACAACAAGAAGGTTTTCTGGCACGTAAAGCAAGAGCTAAAAATTAAGCAAAACTGCAAATACGTCTGGTTCAAAAAGGGATTGATTAAGGCATGCAAAGAAGACAAAGGTAAAGTTTTCATTCTAACAAACTTGGATGACATAAATTCACTAGCTAATAATAAGCTGTGAAATCCTCCATTTTATTTCGGAATTAATATTTTTTGGAAAATTAATTTTTTTACATATATTTTGTTTTTATTTTATATTTATGCCTGGTGTTTATGATGGTGCCTAAATTTAAGATGTGCATCAATAATAAGAATCTCACGACATCATTAAATGATATTAATTGAAAAAAAAAAACAAAGGATATGAAATGCCCAGTACATAAATTTATAGAGAGTAGTTTTACAAAATGCTATGACAAATCTAAATTCCAAATAAAAATACAACCTAATATAAAACGAATAACGAACGATTGGATAAATAAAAAATTATAAATGCATGTACACAAAGGGATATATTATTTACACGGTGGATTAAGGATACCGGTAATATGATTTTAAAGAAAGAATTTAATAAATCAAGAAATTATGCTAATAAATTAATAAATAATATAAAAAAAAGAAAAACAAAATAGCTGAAATTAAATACAGTAAAAATAACCCTAGGCACTTGTGGCAAATAATAAATAAAATAACAGGTAGAATTAAATCATGTTTAGATGAAACATTAATAAAGGCATTTAAAGATAACAACACAACTGATAAGGACATTGCAAATTCATTTGCTACCACATTTGAATATACTTTACAAAGAATAATTCCCAGTTCAGTCACTCGCGAGTTCTTGCACAGCGTAGTAGTCACTCGCGAGCTCTCGTACAGCGTAGTATAACTGTGTACGGATAAATTTACCCTCAATATTAAATAAGTAAGAATGTCTAAATGCGACAATTGTGATAAGTCCATAATAAAAAAGTCACCAAGGCTTGAGTGCAACAAATGTGGAAAAATAGTACACCCCAATCAATTATGCATAGGCTTATCTTCGAAGCAGCTATCAGCTCTGGGCAATGCTGAAAACCTGGAGTAGACATGTGAGGATTGTCGTGAAGAATCGCCTCATCGCAAGTCTTTCATAATTCCGGACGATGACGATGATACTGATGGCAATCAGCTGGGCGAAAGCGGTTTGACAGCGATGAGTAAATTACGTCGTGATATCTCACTTGAGGTAAAGAAAGCAGTGAAGATGGAACTGGCTTCTGTGAACGAATCGTTAAAATCATGGTGTACAAAAATGGATACTATAAATGCTACACTGGAAATCCTAACTGAGAAAGTTAAAGACTTGGAGAAGAAAAACATGTACTTGACAAATCAAAATACCCACCTGGAATTACAAGTTAATGCTATGGAACAACAAATCAGAAATATGGAACAAAAACAGTTGGATAATGTAATGGAAATGAAATGAAAAAGAAAAAAAATGGAAATAACAGGGATTCCCGATGATAAGGACGAGAAATTGGTAAAACTTTCAAGTAAACTAGCCTCGAAGCTAAACGTCAAATGTCAATGGTGAAGAGACTGAAAGGCAGGGACGGTAAAGAAGGTGTGATCCAGGTAGTATTGCATTAAGAGGAGCAGGTCGATCAGTGGATCCGCGCTGCACGTACGGAAACAATTGCTTTGGAAGATATAACTCCAAATGCCCCTAATCCTGAAGTAGCTAAGAGAAGAGTGTAAATTCGGCTTGCACTAACCAAAGCAAATAAAACACTTCTGTGGCAAGCTAAACAAACCTTGAAGGAAACTTACAAATATATTTGGTTCCAGGGTGGTAAAGTTTTGGCTCGCAAAGGGGGACGCCCATTTTCGGCCATGGAACGCCCAACAATGTGAATTTGTTAAAAAATTATATCTTTATTTATGGTTATTAATCGCGGTATTCATTTATCCTCAAACAATGGGAATATTTTTGCACAAATTAAAAGTACCGGAAACATAATAATAAAAATTAGGTAAATCATTATGTCATTAGTTTGTGAATAAAAAAAAAAGTGTTGCCAATCACAAAACACATTTAAAAAATCGATTCTCTTTTTCGATCGATTATTTACGGTGTCATCATTACAGTGCTAATATAATTTTTAAATAATTATGATGTTACGATAATTAAACAAGCGAATTACTAGCTGATTTCTAATGAATTCTTTAGAGAGTAACAAATGCTACGGCACAATTTAACTGTTAATCTTAACCGATCTTCTTTGAAAACAGATAAGAACTGTTATTCTTATCTGTTTTTAAAGAAGATCGGTTAAGTTATTCTTATCTGTTTATAACAACACATTTAAAATAGAATCATGTTATGATAACGAAACAAGTTAGTTTCCAGCTGATTTACCATGAATCCTTTAACCTTTTGAGCGGCAAAGTCGCCTATACTTGACCAACACCTGCGGGCCCTGAGCGCCAACGACGTCTATAGTTGACAAAAAACCCGGCTCCGAAAAATATGAAATATAGATATTGGAAAATTATTACAGGTATTTTAATTCTACACTCCTCAAAATAGGAATAACCCAGCAACATGTGAGTATAAAAAACAAGTCTTCTAGAGCCACAAGTACTAAGAAACATTGAACTAATAAAAATGGATTTTTATCTAAGCAAATACTATGTCCAGCACGCCAAAGTCGTCTATGGTTGACCGCTAGTGTCAAACGCGGGAGGCATAGATTTCTTGAAAACTATCCAAAATTCAGCTCAATGGTGTTTTTTTTTCTATTATTATTGATATTTAAATAAAATTAAAGGTTATAAACATAAAACTATAATTAGCTACATGAATAAAAAAATGTTATCAGATTATCTTCGCATAATAAATCTAATATCTCAACTCTAGCGCATCTTTAGCGCGTCATCGAAAATCAGTTCACTGGGCACCGTGATCAAGGATAGACGACACCCTGATGACGTCATAAGTGATTACCGAGAAAAGTAGAGCAATGCAACATGAACGATTCCTCAGAACTCATTCGGATTTTGGAAAGCGTCGATGATGATGAATTTTGATTTTTGATTGATGAATTGAATTTTTGATTGATTGGTGAACAAATATGTTTATTTATTCCATGACCAAGATTTTAGTATTATAAGGCTGATTTACCTAGTGCGAATAATTATATACAATTGTTGATTAATGAATAATTATGTACCTTTTTTTAATAATAATACAAAATTACAATTAATGTTTTTTTTACTTAGGGTGTGAAGAGCAATTTTTCATTTTGTGTTGTGCCATTTTCTTTCTCAGTCTCAAAATCATCTAGCAGCATCAGCATCGTATCAAATCCCCATTGTCATAAGAGTGTAAGACTTTTCTTCTGTGCGTCACTTGGCCTACGCCTTCCCCGACACATAAAATATTATGAATCGATGTCTGTATATTTCGGTTAGATCGATTTTGAAATCGATACACAACATTCTAAGAATGTTTCAAAAGGGAAGGTCAGCTACGCCGTTGTCGTCCAGTCGCGACAGTGTCGTCATTAGGATGGAGAGTAGTGCTAATGTTTACTACTATTTTATTGTTATTGTTTGTTTTTTATTTATGTTTATATGTACAAAGTAAATATATAAAAAGAGTGGAAGACGGCACAAGATTAAATAAAACATACAGTTTATTAAGAGTCATTTATAGCATAAACAACCAACAAAAACAAGTTATTTCACGTTATCGATATATCAACTCTTGGCAACACTATTTTGTTTTGGCGCTTTGGCGTACAGGACACGGTAATGCGTTTTTGGCGTGGCGCTCAAAAGGTTAAAGCTTAACAAAATGCAACTGCACAATTTTTATCAATTTCAAGACAAAAACAACCGTTGTTATCGGCTTGGTTGAAAACGTTAACAACCGCCTTCACATCTGTAGTTATGATAATTAAATAAGCAATTTAATAGCTGATTTACAATGAATTCTTTGCAGTATAACATAACGATCGCTATGGATATTATGATGTTATGATAATTAAACAAGCGAATTACTAGCTGATTTACTATGAATTCTTTAGAGTACAATAAAATGCTACTGCACAATTTAACTGTTATTGTTATCTGTTTTAACAATACATTTAAAATGGAATCATGTTATGATAATTAAACAAGTGAATTTTTAGCTGATTTACCATGAACTGTTTAGAGCATAACAATACGCTACTCCACATTTTAACTGTTCTTAAAAATACGTTTAAAACATAATTTAAAAAAATAAAAGAAAATATATTTTAAAAAGCGTGTAAAACTGAAAGCGAAACTCAAATATTATTATTTTTGCATTAAATTACTAATCGAATACAAATCGATATCGTTTCGTTGTATTTATGTTAGTTATGTAGCAACATCAAATCTGACAGCTATGGGAAATATGTCATGCGAAATGAAATCACAATTCAACAAGTAAAAAGGTACTAGTGAATTCACAACTAAATAGTTGCCATTGTGTTATTTTGTTTGTTATTTTTTCAAATAAATTCTCAAGAACTCATATGGAGTGAGATTGTCGATCACATTATAGTGTGACAACAGTTAAAAGTAAGTGTTCAACAGTTTTTAATTTATTAATTCTAGTGCTGATATTTGATAGTGATGAATGTATGAAATGATGAAGTTGTTTTATTTTTTAACATATGCACAAGCTATACCTGACAAACAAAATAGCTTATTTGTAACACGGCGATAAGATTAGCTAGCTAACACCAGATAGTTACGAAATGGACAATTTTTATCAAATACCAAGAAATAAGACAGTCGATTTTTAATTGTTTTTGGACTACTGGTAGGCAGTCAGTCCTTAATTATTAAATAATATAGGGCATTAAGTTTTAAGTAACATTTACCTATATTTGAGTTTAAAGTAAACAAATCTATTTTATTTTGTTCACTTTGTCTTATTTTTTTTATTAAATATTATTTCAGTTGCCATCGTCATCGCGTGAGTGTCATGATTGCGAAGGATTGATAAAGCAGCAACACGTTAAACTTTAGAACGGGAACCATCTGAATCATCTAGTCCATCCTTGTAGCAATCTAAAGTGAGTAATGTATTGAACCTAGAACAACAAAGCTTAGATCATACATCATACAATATACTGCTGCCTAATTTTGTAAGAGCACCACTCACACAAAATCAATGTTTTTTCCTGGTTGTAACAATTCCAATCAACTCACTGTTCCATGAGCATTGCGGGTATGTATTTTTGTGAATACAATTACTATGTACCTCCTGAATGTAGAATCAGTAACTACCATTTAAATAGTAACTCTTGGTATTTACTTTTAGAATTAATATATAACCATATTAAAACAAGTAAACATAGTGGATGCTTTGCACTTGCTGTATATTTGATAAAAGTAAGAACAGGAGATAGTGATGAATGCATATAGGCATTATTGCAAGTACCAAGAAACAAATTAGAGCGGCTCATGAATATGGCCCAAGAAATATTAAATCAGGATGTTGTTCCTATGAATTTTATCCATCGTTACCACTCTCTGTGCCAAATTCTATTCAGTAATTATGATATTATATCTGAGGCAAATAATTTCTTAGCTTTCCTAGATGTTTTTGTTATCCAAAATCCTAACAACATCATAGGTCACACTGTGTATAGAAAAAAGACCCATACAAACTGATATTTAAGCGGTGAATCTCACCACAATCCTTCACAGTTAGTTACCATGAGCAAATCTTTGTTACAGAGAGCATATGGGATCTGTGAGAACAAGCACCTGGCCGCGGAGCTTCAGCACGTCAAGCAGGTTCTGCACAAAATCAAGCTTCGGGTCCCACGTCTTCGTCACAGTGACCGAGTGAAGCCGACCGCAGTTGAGCGTGTGCCTGCTGTACTACCGTATGTCAAGGGTGTCACCCCAACCAGATAGACATACATCAGATTTGATAGACCACAAATCCTCGTTAAAGAACATTAATTCCTACCAAGGATGATATGTGAGGCTACTGAAATTAAAAAACATCCTAATTTCAGTAGAGAAGGCGGTTGGGTACTGCCACCTGCTTGGGACACTATAATTAATAAAATTAAAACAAACCCCAAGCATACCACTGCAAGACTTAAAGATAGAGTAAGTTCAATCTGCGTAGATTGGACTATAAAAATAATAATAAAAAGCTGAAGGTACTCCACGTCCCAATACTGACATTGGGATGGCAGTCACCTCAGTACCCCGTGACCATGGGTGCTATAAAGCACCTGAAACGTCAGGAATTAATAATAATAGTATAATAATAATATAGCCATTTATTTCCGAACTTTGGGGTTACATAATATTTGTGTTTGAGTTCCTATTGTAATACTAGTTAAAGTAAGTCCCTCTGTTCGGTGTGCCTTTTGGCATAGGCCTCCAAAAGAAAAATCACGCGTCGGGAATTAAAAGTTAAAGAAATTA